TCCACTTTCTAAGATAGAGCTTGCAAAAATTTTGGTAATGATATGTTTATTATTGGAGCTATCTGTTCATATAGCTTCTTTGATAGTCCTGTAGAGGACATGTGGACAAGACACTTTGCATATCTTGCAAATCAAGAAGATGGATCCGTTGTGCTGTACATCAGAACCACATCAGAACCACATAAGGTGGTTCAACTGAGCTTCATGGTTATAGGATAATTCAAGCACTGGCTTCATGATTAAGAGATGATTCAAGCACTGCTGTAGGTTAATAAAGCTCTCTCTCTCGCTCTCTCTCTGAGAAGGGCACCCCACAAACTGAAGCTAATGTAAGGGTTTATAAGATGTATTGTGGGAACTGGTAGTAATAACTTCAGCTTCACTGGGAACTTATGTACTAAACTATCAAGATGACTAATGCAGGAGTCAAGTGAACTTAGGGATTTCTTAAAGGTGCTGAGGTGCTCTGTTCTCAGGTTTGCAAGTACTCATATTGACCTCTCCCATTCTCAGTTACCTTCCAAAAAGCCATTTGTGTTGTGCAACTTCAGAACTGCTTTAGCCAGTTTCTCTCAGCCTGTCTATCCTTTGATGTAGTCTCCATTTTCTGAACTGTATTAACCCATCAGCCTGGGGTATGCAAGCATTGGTGCAGGGTCAGTACCTTGGGAGCCCCTCCTTTGACTGCTGTTTTAAAATGGAATTATTTTACTTTTAAAGTCTTCAATTAAAATGCTTGGGAGATAGACATGATATTAAAGCAGTGCTGAACTAAGTGTTTTTTACATGTGCAGAATGATTGTGACTCTAAGCAAGCCTGAGTTTTTGTACTTAGGCAGGAGGATATAAAGGCAATTGAAAGGAAAAATGTGCTTGGAAAGGTTTTATTTGTACTAAAGTTTGCTAGTTCAGGTGAAATGGGGAATTGAGGTGAAATAGGGAAGAATAATGCTGCAAATGAGTGGAAGTAATATATCTTTGCTGCCCTCTGTTGGGTGGCCATTCTGATGCAAATATATGAAAGCTAACTTTGCTAGGGGCAAAGTAAATGAATCATTTCTGTGAATTTTTAAATTGACTCAAAGAATTTATTACAAAAGTGGTTTGGGACAAAGACTGTTATGTCAGCACATTTTGTGTATAGATGTGGTATGTTTGTATAGTAGCACAAAACGTTACAAAACTTGTAGAGATGTTCATTGTATTGTATTGTATTGTATTGTACTGTGGGAATAGCTAGAACAGTGATTTATTGTCACAGTATGTCTCAGGAAGCAGGGCATGTACCTTGCCGCATTATACTTCAATAAATATGCAGGGATCTGCATAACCTAAAATCTTACATAACAATTAACTTTTGGGAAGACTATTTTCCCTTTCAGTTAAAACAAATTTATCTATTTCTTCATCTGTTCAAAAATACACTGAATTCCTGAAAAAGTAAAGGTAGAAATCCATATTAGGGCAGTACCTTTATTGGGCCAACTCAAAGGTCAGCAAAAACATACAAGTTCTCAAAATGTCCAGATCTCTTCCATCAGGCACTAGAAAAAGCTGATAGACAAAGAAGCTTGGAAAGGACGAAGTATAATGTTATTATTGATGGGATGAAACCTGTATGGTCAGAATCCTATGATGAAATGTGGAAGGTGGTTGCTGACTGGATTCCTAGGTTTCCAATACATTGTAGTAAAAAATATATTTTCTGTAAGGATGTTTAAAATCTATGCTGTGGTTCTCTAGAGTGTCTAGGCATATTACACAAGATTTGGTTTTAAAGAATCTAACCATCTACTTTGGTTATTACATGGTTTTAAAATGTAATTAGTAAATAAATTGGAAATACCTATCAGATTTTCTTCTTCAGTCATTATACCTATCAGATTATTTTCTTCTTCAGTCATTATACCCAAATCAGTTATCAGTTTACTTTTGTAAATACTTTCCTTTATGCTCATCTTCATGCTTTGCTTATATATTTTTGTCACCAAGTTTTTGCTGTTGTATTCATAGTTTGATTATTTGTTGTATGAAAAAGTCCTTCCCTATATCTGATTAAACCTCCCACCAATTTATATATTTATGTGATTTATATTCTACCTTTTTTCTTACAACGAACTCAGGGGGGCTTCCATCATTCTCCTCCTCCTCCTTTCAGTCTTACCCACACAAAAACAATCCTGTGAGTTAGGTTGGGCTTCGAGTCTGTGACTGGCCCAAAGTCACCCAATCAGCTTATTGACCAAGCGGGGACTAGAACCCAAATCACCGAGTACCAGAACTATGCTGTTAACCACTATACCACACCCCAATTGACTTCATGGAATGACCCCAGGTTCTAGTGTTATGGGAGGGGGGAATGATCTCTCCCTCTCCACTTCCTTCACACCATGCGTTGTTTTAAAAACCTCTATCAGGTCTCCGCTTACTTGCCATTTTTCTAAGCTAAACTGTCCCAGTTGTTGCAGCTGCTACTTAACGGAGCAACTTGATCATTTTTGTTGCTCTTCCAACTCAACAATGTCTGTTTTAAGGTGACCAAAACTGAATACAATATTCTAAGTGTGGTTGTATCAGAGTGTTGTATAATGGGAATAAGATCATGGCAGTTCTGTTCTCTATTCCATTCCTAATTATGCCTAGCATGGAGTTTGCCTTCCTGACAGCAGCTGTGTATTAGGCTGATCTTTTCTTTTTTTTAAAGATTTTTATTAAGCTTTTTAAACTAATACTAAAAACATCAATCATCAAATACATCGGACATACTGGGTCAGCCCCCTACTACATATCTTTTAACATTCTATAAACATATTCAGATCCATTTATAATAGGCTGATATTTTCATCAGGCTGTTCACCACTACCCCAAGATTGCTTTCTTGCTCAGTCATAGCTAGCTTTACACTAATTATAATACCAAAATACCTTTCTTTTAAAATCATTTTGTTTTCTTTTCCTATTTTAAAGATTACATCAATTTGTTATCTCTTTTTATCCATTATCAGATAATTGTGGCACACATGCCTAATCAATATTTTAAACCATAGAAAACTTCTAAAGGGTAATAAGATGTGATTCTGATGCCATAACTTCTCTAAATGCTTACTGCAAAACCAGTGCTGGTAGCACACATTCTTATTAGCAAACAGCCATCTTGGGCTCAGAGGTGGTATGGTATGCATTTCATACAGTCTGGGAACTTCTTTGGGTAACTTAACAAAAAGGAAAGTAATGTGTTATATACTACCTAATGTAGGATGTAAACATAGGGTGACAGGTTATTGCTAATCTTAGTCCTCTAGTCTTCCATAAAACCTTAAAGATTTGGAGTAGGAAGGTATCATTCTTTAAAATACTGTGGCTTAGAGCCATACTGTCTGTGAGCAGACCTTGGTGCACAGAACTCTCTCCTTGGAAAAGGGGACAGGCAATCTTAATCAGTTCCCCTCTGTAGTTTCTTCCAGAAAAGCTGCTCTAGAAGGGTATGGTAGTCCAAGAGCTCATTTCAGAATGAGAGTTATAAGATGCATTGTCATCAAGGCCAGTATTATGAAGAACTGCTGGGGAATTTAAGGTGGGCGACCCCACAAAATCCCTTTTTGGGTCTAATAATTAGTTATAGAGTATATGGATGAAATGAACAATATCTGTGTGTGTCTTTTTTATGCCTTCAAGCAGTGGGACCATTAATGTACATCATGAGGCACATAGTTACAATTGGTGCTGCTTAGTCAGCTTTCTGTACCTTAAAATACTCCGTCTGGCTGCTGAATGGGGCCAACTCCAAATCTGACCACTTAGTATGATCTGAGTCATAACAATTTCCGAGGTACTAAATTGGAACTAGGCACAGTAAGTTCTGAAATAATTATTATTTTAGGAATAAGCTAAAAATAAAGTCTCTTTTTGCCACATGAATAGTTTTGTTTTCATTGGGTGGCATACAAATGTTTTAAATTAGTGAACAAACAAATGAACAAATGAATGAATGAAATACATTGAAAACAATATGCAGCTCCCAAAAAGAAACTATTAACATTCAGCCTCCCACTCATAGTCCAGCCCCAAAGAAGAAAAAGTAATTTGTGCATTCTCATTTCTTTCCCAAAACTTTTCCTTATTGTATTTATTTATTTAAAACATTTCTATCCCGTCCTTCCTGATAAGCAGTGTTAATAGGGAGGGACACTGCATTCTGTTTAAGAGACAAGTCAGCCATGTTAGGGCTATTACTCTGTAGGTAAGTTATACTTACTGCCAGTGCTTTTTTTGTATTAAAAAAAAAAAGTGCAGGAACTCACGTCGCTGGCAGTAAGCGTGCGACCACACACACAGCGGAACGTCCCAAGCCGAGAGCAGCGCCCTCACTATCTCACTATCAGCAGACACAAAAGCAGCTTGCCTGCTTACTGCATCCCAATTTAGATCCAAATCAGCATGCATTTCTTATGAATAGAATGTATATATAACTAAAATGTGAAGGTTGCTATTGTATTATCATACTTTATCAAGGTAGTATTATTAATATTATCATTCAAGAGTGACATTGTATGACTGGCTCTGTAGAATTTTCATGGCCAACTGTCATGACTCTGTAGCTCACCCTGCCTGAGGCAGCCACTGGCCCAGCCTCCTTCCTCTCTGCCTTTGGGCAATGAAAAATTAATTTAATTTAATTTAATTAAAACATTTCTATGCCATCCTTTGCAAGAATGCTCAGGACGGCTTACAAAATACCTATCCATAAGGAAAGAAAGATGCACTGTTCCAGAGCAATGCCATGTGGCAGAGAGAGTAAAAGCAAGCTGCAGTTCTTGTTTTACGTAAGCTGCCTTGGGGTTTCTTCTGTGCAAAAGGCAAGCTAGAAATCAAATTAAGAAATAATATTTAGATAAATTTCTGAAGAATGAGATACAAATTTTCTATCACATATTGCCTCCTTTTTGCCATTATTCTGGTTTCATTTCTTCATGTTAACACTGCTCATTTTCTTTATTATAGACAGCTGCAGGAGCAACAACGACAAAAGGAATTGGAAAGGGAGAGGCTGGAACGTGACAGAATGGAACGAGAAAGGCTGGAGCGGGAGCGGCTAGAACGAGAGAGGTTGGAGCGAGAAAGGCTAGAAAAGGAAAGACTGGAACGAGAACGATTAGAACAAGAGCAACTGGAAAGGGAGCGGCAGGAGAGGGAACGGCAAGAGCGCCTAGAAAGAGAAAGACAAGAGCGGGAGAGATTGGAATGGGAAAGGCAGGAAAGAGAGCGGCAAGAGCAGCTAGGAAGAGAGCAGCTGGAATGGGAAAGAGAAAGAACACTGTCAAGTGCTGGTAAGAATTTCAATACATTCATTTTAAGAATTAGATCTGACATGATGGAATTGATAGTAGTAATCAAATGTAAAATTAGTTATTTCCTGTTTGCCTATAAATTATTTCCCAAAACACAGGAGCATATTGGTGTTATTCTCGACAATTCTACTTAATATAATTCAGCATACAAAGTGCATGAGCCAGTCATGTTTATGTTTCTAAGCTTTTATTGTTTGTGTTTTTATCAGGAAACAGGTGCTTTGTTTATTGCTTTAAAGGGTAGTTAAGTATTCTGCATGGAAGAAATGCAGATCTTTTGTGAAGAATAAATTAGCAGAGCCCTATCAATATGATGCTTCTTTTTTCCTCTTAAAGAAAATGTAAAGATTCTTCACTGCATCCTTATGAAGTCATTGGTAACTACTGACTCTGCTGGGAGGCCAAGGACAATTGCTGTTGAGGAGTCCAGTGTCCTGGACTCCTTGTTATGCTGGAATTCCAGCTTGTATTTATGTGCTGAGGAAGAATTATGGTGGCCTTAAACCATGAATGATGTATACTTACATGTTCCCCACACTTGATCCTCCACTTGGCTGAGAACATGCCACTTAACATATGTGGGTGTGTATGTGTGTGAGAGAACTGAATTAAATCCCTTACAGTGTTCATTATAAGTCTATTATTCTCTGAAGGTTTTTGTTAAGGATTAGATAGCATGGGTTGGAACATGGTATATCATGGGATAACTAAGAATAAAGGACTTGGATAATCTAGGATCTTCACTAACTGCAAAAGTTATGCCCTGTAATTACTTATAACTCAATTTAAGTCTGTTATGTTCTAAATCTTTAGCAGAAACTTTATTTTCCACAAACTCTTCTAAATGGATAAAATTGCTCACTAACCTAAGTGGAGATTTCCTGGATTCACTGGAAGAGTATTCTGCTAGCAAGTCCATATTATATAACTCTAGTAATACAAATATGAAAAAGAAGACAACACTACACTGTTACACAAGCTGGTATCTACTGTAGATACACATTTCCCTTGCAAGTAGGATGTAAAATCTTCACCATGTTCCAAAATATCTGGTAGTCCATTCTACCCCTAAATCTGTTTCTGCAACACAACTTCCATGTCCTTTGCACTAATCCCAGTGCCAAAACTAAAGTTGTCCTCTTATCCTAGTCTTTGTTTCTGTTCAAGTGCTTTTTTCCCCACACCCAGCTCCCTGTTCTTGCCCTTTTTTATGCTTGTGTATCCCTTTTCTCTTGGCCTTAGCCTCCTCCATCCTGTCCTGCTACCTAGGCAGCTTACCTTCAATCTGCAGTTTGGGTGATCTGTGTCCCTTTTCTCACAAAAGGGATTGGAGAAGAGGGGTGTGGCATTTGAAGCTATTCTTGAATAAAGTAGAAGCTTTATAGGTCAGGCAGTGTAAGTTCTTTATGGTTTCAGCTAAAATCAAAACATTAGAAATTGAATAGCCAGGTCTCTGAAAAGTTTTACCAGTTAATTTGGTGAACTGAGAGGAAATGTTGACACTCACAGCCAGTTGTTTGTGTAATTGCATGTCTGGCATGAGAGTGTAATAATGTCAGGAAGACTTTGCATGAAGATTCCTGTTGAAGCCTTTTAACAAGTTGTGTTGATGATATTTTAGATGAGGCACTGTAGAACACCATGGATCCAAGACTGTACGTACTATATTCTCAGTTCAGTATTTTAGTATTTCTTGCAAGCAACAGTTTTGAGTTCTTTTTGACTTGAAAAACTTTTTAAACTTAAAAAAGAGTTTATTTCCAGAAAATAATTATTTATAACAAAAGCATATTAAGCATACAGGCCTGAAAACATCTGAGCAGGCCTAATGAGAAAAGGCCCAGCCAATAGTTTTTGTTACAGCAAAATAGTACCAAACCCTTGAGATACATGGTTGTTTATACTTGCCTGTTTTATGTAGGGAGAAAGTTGATCCCTTTTTGTTTTGTATCATCTGTTTTGTATTCATTCAGATGCTCCCCCTTCAGTATTGAGCAGGAATATGGGTGTGTATTCTCCTGAAAGCTGAATGATTCAGGAATGGGCATCCTTCTGAGGGAAACCTAGAATTTGCAGAATCATTGCAAGTTGTGATGTGCTGTTAAACTGTCATTTATTACATGACTAGGCAACTTGTGGCTTTTCAAATGTTTTAGCTTTCAACTCTTGTCAACCTTAGCCAGTACAGAGGAACGATGAGAGTTTTAGGCCAAAACATCTCATAAATTGGCAAGCCCTGGTGTACATGAGGGGAAGTGATAGCAGTTTTCAGTACTTGAAAGGCTGTCTGAGGAGAGCCAGGATCTCTTCTTAATCATTCTAGAAAGTAGGATATAGAATAATGGGCTTAAGTTACAGGTAGCCATATTCTGGCTGAGCATCTGGAAAACTACTGTTTGACCAGTATGGCAATGGAACTAATTACTTAGGGAGTCATGGGCTTTCCCACACTGGAGGCTTTCAAGAGGCAGTTGGGCAGCCATCTGTCAGGGATACTTTAACTGGAGTCCTGCATTAAGTGGGTGTTGGACTCGATAGCTTTATAAGCCCTTTCCAACTCAACACTTCTATGTTTACCCATGGGTTGTCATGTCATCAGTATTTGGATATGCTCAGTCTTAACTGTGGGTAGCAGCCAACGTCAAATCATGCTTGTATGAATCTGGCTTGGGGGTTTTTTTCCCCAACCATTGTTAAGATTAACTAGAGTTTGGTGCTTGGATGACACAACAATAACTGTGGTTAATATAAAATGTAAGGGAAAGCTTCTGACCTCATAGTTGTGCCAGAAGAGAAGTTTGGTGAAAGGAACACAGAAATGGAGGTGGAAGCTGGGTTTATTTTTCTAATCTAAACACAGCCAGTGTGCTGCCATGATCCTTTAGCTGTATAAAAGCTCTTGTATCACATTACAATAAAAGGATAAACTCAATTTGTTTAGCCTTGCAAGTAAATCCACAAAAAATACTGCGCTGTGATTTTTAATCGCCTATTTGCCCATACACACAAGTCATGTGTGGTACATCAGCAGCTTAAAAGAGTACACTATCTTTCAAGGGTCAAAGGTTCTAGGTCCTCCATTGTAATCTGCAGGCAGTTCATACTTAACACAAGCGTGCAAACAGCTACTTACAAGCTTGATTCTGCAGCTGGTATATTGCTGTATATTATTTCCTACTTCCAATAAAATAAAAGTATTGCCTAAAGACTCAACAGCCTGTAAAGCAGAAACTTTTATATAAGCCAGCTGCTTTAGGAAGAATGTTTGAAATTCTCATTGTTGTAATTTTTATTTGAAATAAAATATACTTTCTATAGACTACAGTATGCTAGAAGCTTAAGATTTAGGTTACAGTCCTATGATTGCTTACCTAAAAGTCCTCTCATTGGGGATTACTTAGTAGACATGTATAGGATAGCACTGTCCATATACTGAAGCTGTTTTTCAGTCTTTTTTTAAAAGACAGTTAAGATCACTACACTTAATTCCAGCCAATTGATTTTGCTGATTCCCTTTTGAGAGCTTATTCTGTAGTGAAGTATTTTGCATTTCCAGAATGTGCTTATAAATTGAAATATTGGCACAAATATATATTGCAAAATTGGAAGCTTCTGTTGATAGTGTATAAATTCTAACAGTAATTTACTTGTGCCTAATCCTCTGATACTAACTATAGTCTACATTTATAAATTTTGTTTGAATGCTGGTTTTGTTGCTTCATTAGCTCCCTTTTTCTCTCTTTCTCTCTCTCTCCTCTTTTATCCTGCCTTTACTGCTGCTTTCCATTTTCTGTCCAGCGCCGTCTTATGACAACTCCCCATATAGTACTTCACTTCCTGAATATTCCAGTTGCCAGCCTCCTTCAGCACCTCCTCCTTCATATGCTAAAGCAATCTCAGACTCTACTTCAGATTATGCTATAGTGACATCTACACAGTCAGTTTCCTCTCCCCCTACACCACCACTTAGGCACTCTGCATCACGTTTTGCTACATCTTTGGGCTCTGCCTTCCATCCTGTTCTTCCCCATTATGCCACAGTTCCTCGTCCAGTAAACAAAAATTCTCGACCACCTTCCCCTGTGAACCCTCCTGCATCTTTGCCGCCAAGTACCAAGTCAACTACTTGGTCTGCATCTAATTTTGCACCTCTTCCTCCTTCTCCTCCGGTAATGATTAGTAGCCCCCCAGGCAAAGCCACTGGCCCAAAGCCTGTTCTCCCAATTCCTGTTACTGCTCAATTATGCCAAATGTCGCCATCTCCGACCACACCCAATGGTCTTCCGGAGTTAACAAACTATCCAGTTTCTTCACCACCTACCTCGGGTCCAACACCGCCGCCACCAGCTTCCTTTCAGCCCCTCTTGCTCTCTGGACCTCAAGTTTCCTCTCCAAGCTCCCCTAATGCCTCAGCTCCCTCATCCAAGCCTAGTGTTCTCCCTTCTCCCTCTGCAGCTCCCCCTGCCTCTGTTGAGAACTCTCTAAACTCTGTGCTGGGAGACTCCTCTGCTTCTGAGCCAGTCTTGCAGACAGCCTCTCAGCCGGTTGAATCTCCGTCCCAGCAGGGTAAGGTTTCTGTTATTGCTACTAATTTACTAATCAGGAATGCATTCAAAACTAATTTGCATCTGAAACTTGATTTATCCTGAAAAATTAACACTTTTAAAGCTGCAGTGATCTTAATACTCCCAACAAACATTTGGCAGGATGTTGTTAGAAGTGTTTTTAGTCAAATTTAGCAGTGTTATGCTGGGATACATTCGTTCATTCATTTAGAGAGGACAGTTTGCCTATTTTCTGAATGTGTTTTGCTGGTGTGGGTGGTTTTGGGAGGAGGGATAAGCACAATGGTAAACTCTTAATTAAAAAAATGAGATTATGCATCAGGTTTGTATCAGTTCAGTATTACTCAATAAAATATCCAGAACTTCTTGCTGATATTTCTGGTTATAATTAAATATTTCTATTGAATAATAAAATTTGATGTGTAGTATCCAGATATAAGTTGGTACATTTCCATTTAGCTAAACCTTCAGAGGAGCCCAGGGTGCCCACTTACCTAATGTGTTATAATTGAGTTTACAAGTTCATTTGATGTTACCATGTTTCTCTTTACTTCAGATAAGTCACAGTTCAAGAGTAAGCAGTCTTTCTTGACTTATAGTGTTCCTCCATTGTTGAGACAGATGGATATCAGCCTACATTGACAGGCAAAACTATATTTGGGCAATCCTTGTTCAGTGTCTTAAACACATGCAAACATAAAGCACTTTTAGCTTTTTAGATGCGGGGGGACTACTTGCTCCATAAACTCTTCTAACTCACTAATGTATGCTTCAATAATAACTCTTGAAAAAATCCCAGATGCACAGGTTGTATGTTATAGGTATCGTGTCCTTAAAACTTGCTTACATTGGTGGAATTCAAAGATGTGATGAAGAATGGAAATTGTCCATTTTTAGGCAAACAGTTGGCATACTTACTATTTTGGTATTATGGTAATTGAGCTTTTATCAGCTTTGATGTTATATCTGTTATATTTCATTGTAAGCAGGATAAAGGCTTGCCCACTATTGGACCTTTCAAACAGGTGGCATTAATTCTGTCTTGGACAGTACTGTTTTCTTTTAAACGTATGCAGAGTTGTTTTTCTTCAAGTTGAACTGTTTATTACTACTTGAAGTGAGTGTATTAAAACTGGAGAATACTTTCTGAAATTATATTGAGGCAGAATTCCTCTTGAAATAGAAATCAATGTAGGCACGTGCATTTCTCCCCCTTTGGGATTGTATATAATTGGCTTCCTGACAGATTTCACTTCTTGGCATAATTTTTGCATTTGGTTTTTGTGTATGTGTGTGTGTGTTGTTTTTTTTTAAATTAGGTGTTATACAAGGATCACCTGTACCTCCACCCCCACCACCTCTTCCACCTGGCCCTGTTCAGTCTCCACCAGCAGTCCCACCTCCTCCTGGGCCTCCTCCACCACCCCCTCTTCCACCATCAGGGCCTCCACCGCCTCCACCACCTCCTCCTCTTCCTAACCAGGTTCCCCCTCCACCTCCTGCCCCACCTCTCCCAATCACTGGTTTTTCCATGGGATTGATGTTTGAAGACCACCGTCCTTTAACAGGACTAGCAGCTGCTCTTGCTGGAGCCAAACTCAGAAAAGTATCACGGGTAAGTAAAATTCCAGCTTAAAAAATTAATTAGGCGTTATCCACTCAGGTTTTTTTATAATGAATGGCTAGGATGATCAAAAGTGTTTTGACAATGCCTCTATATAATTTTATTAGAATTAACTGTAGTGTAATATTCAGGTGCGTCCCAATTGGGTTAAACTTTTAATGATAATTATTCAGCTATATTGAATTATTCTAGCTATTCAGATAGATGATTTGTTGTTCTGTATAAGCATAAATCACTTAGTCATTACTTTTGTAATTATAGAATGAAGAATTCTCTAATCCAGTAGGAGGAACCAACTCTGCCTCACCTAAAACAGATACTGGTCGTGGAAATGGGCCACTTCCTCTTGGAGGGAGTGGGTTAATGGAAGAAATGAGTGCTCTGCTGGCAAGAAGGTAAGGCAGTTTTATTTGAACATAAACTTTGTAGAAGATACAGAGTATTTTTTAAAAACTTTAATGTTAGTGCTAGTAAACCCCTTATGTGTTTGACAGATGTGCATTTTCTACCATGAGTGTAAACAGTGGTTAGCAAATGATGCAGATACCCCATATCCTTGGCAGCTGCATGATACTCACATGATGCAACTACATTTTCAACATACACAATATTTTATTTGAACACAATAAAAACATAAATGTTCCTCAGAAGTTTGAATCAGCACTGTATGTTGCTTATAATAGATTTATTGGATATGTTTTGATTACTGAATGCTTCCAATTGTGTGTCGAGTGCAATTTATTTACTAGTGGCTCTTCAGGGGAGGAAACATCTTCAAGTTAGAAAGCAGTGATAACAAAGTCATAACTGGCATATAGTAACTGAGTTTACTTTTGTTCCTACTTGAAGGAGAAGAATTGCTGAGAAGGGAACATCAGAAACAGAACCAAAAGAAGAAAAAAATGTAAGTTAATGAATCAATTTGCATGATATGCCATATAAACCAACTATTGGAATCTTTGAAATTAAGGATTATGATTTTACAATTTCACTGTTCCAAATTTGATAGAGCAGCTTGAAATGTTAGGCCTGTTACTTAGATGTTTCTTCTGGAAATGTTGTGCCTGTATGCTCTTGAGTCAATTTGACAAGACTTGTTAAATTGTTGTATTTTTAATTTCATTGAAATAGGAAGAACCAGAGCCTTCAGTTTCAAAGCCTCCTTCAACAAGCACACCTGGTAAGTTCTATAAACTGTGATGTTTTCACAGCTGGCTCAAATCATGTGTTTATAGTGCCCTAATGTGAACTATAGCTGTGTTAACTAATTTATATAATTCTTATATTTTTCCACTATCAGAACTGTATTTTAATTCATGATATCGTTTGCTTTTAAACTTCACTTTAACTTTCCCAAGAATTTGTGAAAGAGTTGCAGTAGTAGCTCTGTAGTGAGAGCCCATTTGAAACATGGTACTGGAGGAGAGCTTTGCAAATACCCTGAACTGACAGAAAGACAAAAAAAATAGGTCTTAGATCAAATCAAGCTGGAACTTTCCCTAGCAGCCAGAATGATAAAATGGCAGCTGTCAAACTTCAGGCACATCGTAAGAAGACCAGGTTCACTGGAGAAGACAGTAATGCTAGGGAAGGTTGAAGGCAGAAAAGGGAAAAACCAAAAGAGATCGATTAATTCCATAAAGGAAACCACAGTCTTGGGTTTACAAGAGCTGAATAGAGCTCCCAAGGATCAGACATTATGGGAGAACATGCATTGATAAGACCTCCATAAGTCAGAAATGTTTTGATGGCATGTAACATTTCTAATTAGAGAAAAAAATAGAAATGTTAACTGGATGCTTCAAATTATTGATAATTTGAATGGGTGTCAGACAAAGTTCTTAAGTTTGAAATATTTAAAATCCTAATTATAATACATCAGCAGGCTTTCCAGTTCTTTGCATGGAAATCAAGCCAAACTGAAGTTACCATCTGTGGATCTCATTCCTTGTCATATACATGCATAGGTTTCCTTTTTAACTCATTTCTAACAGACTTTCTATTATTGCCATCTTCTTGGATGGTAATACATTATCTGGGATAAGGCATGAACAGTGAGTTAGTTAAATTCTATAGATGACAGAGAATGATTCATAGCTGTAAAAATGCTACCAAGAGCATATAAAAAATTCTAAGCACAGCAGTAGGTCAACAGACGGACAAACAAGGTTTAATTTGCACAGAGTATGATATCATTACACTGGGTCCTAAATTGGCTATGACCACTCTGGAATGTCTCGTAGGTCATGGTGAATGACTTACTGAAAACAAAAGGAAAATTAAATTAAAGATAATTTATTAGGAAATAAATGGAATATGGAATATTTCCCATGGCATTGGCATTTGGGGGCATCTAATCCCATTGATAACTTTAAGGCAAGGATAGACAGTAAGCATTTTTTCAGGCCATGCTAAATGAACATGCTATTGCCAGACTTCGTTTTACACAAATGCATGTCTGAATGTGGACTTTCAGACTTGCAACCTCAACACTTGAGAGGATCTTTTAACAAAGCTTATTTGGAGCATCCCAAAAGGTATTTGGAGATTAAAGACATAGTAGTTTAACCGAGTATTACATTTATTGAAAAGAATTAGAACATACACTCAAAAGATCAGAGTAAGGAGGGGCACATTAATAGGGTTAATTTCATTTATATCAATTGCTCTAATTATTTAGGTAGAGATATTAAATGCAATGGTTTATTGTAATTGACCAGCAAATTGACAGTGGGGTCTGGGAAATCCTGGCAGACAAGAAAAGGATAGGAATGAATCTAGGGAAGAAGGAAAAGACTGGTAAAGAGCTCAGTTTTGGAGCAGAAGAGAGAGGTAGTGATTTGCTTACTTTCCTGGAGACACACAACCCTGAAGAAGAGAGGGAAAAAGGAACAAGGAAAAGCTGACTGTTTCCCCCACTTCACCCCCCAAAAATTGGGTAATGAAAGGAAGAAAAGTGTCTGGCAAGTTGGTAACTTATTGGGAAGAAGTTAGTAAATCTGCATACCTTATCTGCAGAGGCTTTGGGGGCGCATACGGTGAAGGAAGAGGCAGTGGTGTGCCTCTTTAACAATTGGTGGGAAGAAAATCAAAGGAGGATTTCTTGGAGAGAGAAGAGGGCTTTCTTTGGGTCAGAAGAGTTCTGACTATTGGGCCCGCTGGATGCTGCTTATATTTAATTTACCAACCAGTCTCATTAAAACCAAGATGTGTACTAGTTCAGAACTAAAAGTCTTTCCTTCCTCCCAGCTTAAGAAAGAAGGTAAAAATTAATATGCTGCTGCGTTCATCTACTACTGAACCTTTTAGGGCTGGCATTTGGAGCCTAATTGTAAATTTGGAAGTGATAGCCAAGGAATTGAGTTTGCAAAGTGGCATATCAGAGGGTGATGTTTGCATATCATGTTCAACTTAGAATGCCAGGCCTGGCTTTTAAGATACTGGTGTGAAAGGAGGAAAGATCTTACCTTAATTCCTGGTGGTATAGGAAGGGACAAAGATTTGCTTGGACTGATCGCCACCATTACATTTCACTCAGTCTGAAGGAAAGGTTCTTTAAGGCCTTACAGGGCTTCCTAATGCTCACCGAGCAAGGGCCCAAGCCAACACCATAGCCCTAGGCTTGAAACCTTAAATAGTTGTTCTAACTAAGAGGAAAGCCTGGGTCTTGGGGAAAAGGCAAATTAGAATAAAGCACACACATTCGAATATGATTATTGCTAAGTTTGTTTAGAAAAAGGGGAACGGGAAAAGAAATAACACATGAATGAATCAGGGCAAAATTTGGAAACAATACTTACACAGCAAAACAACCAGGTTGACTAAACATGTCCATACTTAAAAGCACAGCTCTGTAGTAGATAGGACTTCAAGAAGCGAATGCTGCAGAGCAGTTGTTGGACAGGGCATGTGAAAACTTGTGCATCTCCACCCCCAAAGTTGTATACACAAAGTCTTTAGTAACTTTGAGGTGATTTCCTTTAGCCAGTCATGAACTAGTTTGACCCTGTCTTCCCCAGACTTTCTGGGGCCTGAAAGTTTGTACAGTCACTCAACTGATCTTGTTAAACCCAGTTAGTGAGGGTTCTGCTTTGTCCTTGATCCTGAAATGGCAGGAGATAACACCCACAGGTGGCCTAACAAATATGTGCCTCAGCCATACAGAATAGAACTGTGTGGCCTGATAAGATAGAGGAAAATGAATTTCTTGAGAGCAGTCTTCAATGTTCTTCTGCAAGCAAAAAATAAATCTCCTTTTCCATGTCAAAAATGGCAGAACATAGAGCTATCTGGCAACAGTGTGGGTTTCATTGCCCTGGGTCATGGTGATGGCTAGTTGCACAGAAGGCTTTTTTTAAAGGATTGAACCAAACCAGGAATGGTAAATCTGCCATTTGCAACCAGCCACAGTAGCTAAATGTTTCAGTAGTATTTTAAGGATTTCATGTTTAAATAGTATATCCTTAAGAAGTTGGTGGGTGATTACACATTATAACCTGTCTGCACACCTCTAATTGCAAGGAGACTTTTAGAGTATGCACACCAGTCTCTCTTCATTAAAAGAAATGAATTGTCACTCAAAAGGGAAGCAGGCATGAATGTCAAGTAGCCAGAGTTTTGAACAACAGAAGGATCCCCTTTCTTTTGAATAATTCAACAGCAGGCCAGTTGCTTAATATCAACTAGTTCCCATAACCCTGCTTCTCAGAGTCCGAAGGTTCTGGCAGAGCTGTTCAAGATACCTAACATAGTTGGAAGGAAGTACTAAAGAAACAAATGTGCAAAGTGCTAATCCACTCATTGTGTACTTTGGAGTTTCTTGCTCCCTGCACAGGATTTGTGGCATCTGAATTCATCATGTTCATATAAAACATGTCCCTCTTCATAAGCTTGTTCATTCTTCCCAAATGCATCATTCAGTGTATGTAATTCTAACATCCAGTGATTTTATTGCTTGCAGAACTAACCAGAAAGCCTTGGGAAAGAACAAATACAGTGAACGGAAGCAAGTCACCCATTATTTCAAGGTAGTTATCTCTTGTTTGCAAAGGACAGTCTATATTCCCCACAAATAACTGGAACAGAAGAACATCAGGAAAAGTTTTCTCACTGTCAGAGCAATACAACAGTGGAACCAGTTGCCTAGAGAAGTCGTGGGCTCTCCCACATTGGAGACATTTAAAAAGAAACTGGACAGCCAAATCAGTGCTGTTGTAAACCACTCAGAAAACTTTAGCTCTTGGGTGTTATAGAAATAATCATATCCACTGGAATATTGATTTCAGCTGTGGAAAATACTATATATAAATTGTAGGCTGCTGAAGTTTGAGATAAGCTATTAGGCATCAGTATCATTAACATAGAGATGCTGTGGTGAGACTTCCAAAAAAATTGTTTAAAAAATTTTAAAAGCTGCTCCTATGGTTCAGGGTCAGTATTACCATGCTCTTGATATTCTGCAGCTTGAGTTAGTTGCAGCAAAAGCCTTCTGCTTTGTGGTAGGAAACAGAAAATTGGACTTCCCATTATGGTTTTGTTTCTACAATGCTGCTAGGCAATAATGGTTTTAAAAGCTGAAGTACTGGTAAAAAATGAATAAAAGCACAGTTAACTTGAACCATGTCCACTTTTCTTTCATAGACCAAAATCTGCATCCTCTGGGCAACCCAGTACCAACGGAGTACAGTCTGAAGGGCTAGACTATGACAGATTGAAACAGGTAAACATTTTTTTTCAGCCTCTAATGTTAAAGTTGCTGACTCTGAATATATCTGTGGAGAACATGTTTTATTTCTTTATTTAATGCTTTATCACCTAAGCAGTATTTGAATTAGTAGTTATGAGATAAAGAATGTAAGTAACAATAAAATGATTTTAAAATAATAATTTAAACTCAAAGATATAGCAATTATTCATAGTATTCTGATGAAAAAATCAGTGTGGAGAAAAGCTGGTTTTTTGTTCTTTACACAAAAGAACACTTTGCTGATTAGGATTACACTGGTTGGTGGTCCTCTGGTCAACAAGACACGCACCAGAAAACAATTTGGTTCTTGAATTTCACACTAGTTGCAGTTTTCAACTACAGTTCAAATGCAGGCCCACACAGATTACATTGCAATAACCTAAACAAGACATGAACAAAAACTGTGTTTCCAAAAGGTAGGGATAGACTAATGGGTGGAACAGAGGAAGCAGATTTTGGTTAAACATTGGGAGAAACTTCCCAGTGGTTTAAGCTGTTTAACAGTTGAATAGAATATGTTGGAGGGGAGGTAATTTCCTTCTCTGATGGTGATTAAGCAGTGGCTGCAAGACCATCTGCCAGGGATGCTGTAGTTGCATCCTATAGTGACCATGTGGTTGAGTTAGAAGATCTCTGAAGGCCCCTTTTGGTTCCAATGACTCTATTTATGTATTTTAACCAAACTTCAAAACTAACGCGAGTTTAATGGAAGCGTGGAGAGCCAGTATGGTGTCATGGTTAAGAGTGCTGGATCAAGACTCAGGAGATCTGGGCTCTAGTCCGCATGCAGCCATGGAGCTCACTGGGTGACTCTGGGCCAGGCTGACTCAGCCCAACCTACCTGACAGGGTTCTTGTGAGAATAAGCTTGAGAGGAGAATTCTGTGTGCTGCCTTGAGTTCCTTGAAAGGCAAAAAGGTAGCATATATGAATAAGTTCCAAAGAGTGGGCATCATCAGAGAAGCCATGGCTCTGTGCCTTCACTTGTCTGCTCTTCATGACTGCATAAAAACCATGACACAGAGGAGTTCTTCCCCTTATGAATCTGCAGTAGAAGAAAAAGACATGAAAAGGGATTCTTCCAAAAAGGGAAAGTATCATTGTAGTTCTTATGGCAATTAAACGTTCAGGCTCTAGCAAGCAAATCGCAAGGCTTGGCATACTTGATTGAGCTCAAATTGAAGCAAGTGGAGATGGAGGAAGTCACTTTGTAGGACAAAGTAATTAAAAACCTAATTACAGCATGTGGGACATCTTCAGATAGATTTTTCCTCCCTTACTGCAGCCAGGCTGGAGGCTTCTACAAGCCTGGATGTAGTGGAGGAGGTGTTGTGTTGGTTTGTGAATAAAGCTGCACACGTAATTGGGGTCCTGGGTTGCATGTCACAAGTGGGGAAGGCCTACCCATATTGGTGTGCAGTGCTACTTACTGCTGCCATGCAGTCCCCATCTTGGTTGCCCAGTACCAATTTGCCCACCGCACCTAGACATGTCCTCCTTCCCTGAATTTAAACTAATTAAATTTCATTCATTTGATTAATTTCATTCATTTTCAAATGAATTGAATTCTTTGAATTCTGTAGGCAACACTTAACTCAATTCTGTTCTACTACCATAGGATATTTTAGATGAAATGAGAAAGGAGTTAACAAAACTAAAAGAAGAATTAATTGATGGTGAGTATTAAACCTATGGATGATTTTGGCTTTCTACATATGACTGTGTAGGAATACATTAGAGGTTTGAAATGCATAATATCTCCCCTACTCTTTCCTCAACTTTCATCTTGCCTCTGATTCCACACTGGAGTGTTCCACTGTCACAATTTTAAAGACGAGTATGATATCAGTGCATGAAGTTGGCCTGTGGTCTCTGTCCAGATCCACTTATACTATGAAGTTGTTAACTGGTCTTGGACAAATCAGTTTTCTAGTCTCAACTGCCCTATCTGTAAAATGTGAATGACACTCTCTCTGAAACTAACCCACCTCCAGAAGGTGTTGGCTGAGAGTCAGATTACTGCACAACATAAGTAAAAAAAAATCTAAGACTCTTTCTCCTTGGTTATCATTAAGAACATACCTTTTTGCTTGCTGCCCCCGCCTTGAGATTTTAGAGGACTTTTACTCTTTGTGGGGCTTACATGCCATAAACCTTAACCATGTTTCCACAGCCATTGCTCACACCTTCAGGCACCGCCCCACATCTCCTCTGTGGTTCCTTTTGCTGTGGTTTCCTTTTGTTGTATGCTATTTCATGGTACTAATATTTGAAAGCATAAATTTTACAACCTGCCCACTTCTAGCTGCAGGGGTTTTTTTTCTCTGTACATTTACACATATGTAAGACATCCCACACTATCATGTAGCATTATTCTGGGTGCTGTATTGATAAGACTGACTTCCTTGAAATATGAAATCATGGTCATCTTTTCTTAGTATTGCAGCAATTAACAGCATTCTTTTTCTCTTCAAATCAGCTATCCGGCAAGAACTGAGCAAGTCGAATACAGCATAAAAAGACCAGGACTAAGCCATTGTGACCGTGGGTCTTGGCATACACACCACATTTTGTGAACTGTTAAAAGAAAATGGAAAAATACACTTGGGAGAAGGGGAAAGCAAGGTTCTGAAAAATTTCAGGCATTGCTGTGCTGATACTGTTTCCCTTTGCTGCTGTTTTCTGACTTTCAACAGGGTGGAAAATAGTCTTAAGTTGTGGTAATGAGTTATGCAGAAAATCCTATAACTGTCAGACAAGATCACAGTGCATTGAAATGTTTTTTCATATCAAGGTGAAGCTGCACATCACAGTTCATTGAGAGGCAAAAAAGAGGAAAAGCTTGGGAAGGCTTTTCATAGGGGTTTTCCTAATGAAGGATTTAGCAAGTTATACTGTTGTACAAATGCGTCTCAGGTTAGTCTTCCTATCATATTGGGTATTTCCATGAACTAAGATCAAACATGACTTTCCTTCATATACTAAAGAACACATAGAAGAGTGCTGCAAAACACAATATTGGTGAAATGAGAGTTCTAGAATGTGACAGTATATTAAGTTACAGAATCTTATGATAGGAAGCCTTTCTTGTTAGCCTTCATGCAGTTTTATAAGAAAAAAGGAAACGCTGTCCAGAGTATAAAGATATAGATGCCTTCCTAAAATGTTATGCTTTACCAAATCTAAGACTTCTCCAGAAATACAAATCAATGGTCAAATGTAAATTGTTAGATTGTTATAGATTTACCATAGTTTTTAAGCTTTTAAGATTTATGCATGTAGACATTTTTGTAATATAACACAACCACAGAGTTGGCTTTTTAATTTAAAACATCCTTGCATGCCACAAATATTAAGTAGCCTTTTACAATAAGGCCTAGTTAATGCCCAGGCAAAACTTGGGAGGTTTAGGGTTGGGAATAGGGGTGACTTTTTATTTAAAAAATTTGTATTAATGCTGCACTATTTTTCCTTATATTGCATGCATGTGTAATAATAAGGAAAATGTTGTGACTTATCAGTAACCATGTTAAATAGAACCAGGTATTTAATACTTTTTTGTATCATTTCATTTGTATTTCAAACCTAGTTATGCTTCAGTAACAGTTTCTGGAAACCCCAGTTGGTTTTGTTTCTTTTCTTAACATAAAATTAAGCATTAAGCATCATGATTATTTTTAGAACTGATATTTAAAAGAGGCATTATAAAATAGTGTTCTTTCCAAAACAAATTGAAAAGAGGTCTTGGTTAATTAGGGGATTGAAATATTAATCAAATCTTATCCTCCTAATCCTTAAATCCTAGGTTAGGGACTTGATTAGGGGAAGACCATGAGATCCTGTGCTCTTTTCCTCCCAATTGCATTGTCAATATAGATTCCTCTTGCCCCTTCCTCAAGCAGAGGTGAGCTAGTGCATCATCACTAACCTTAAGATGGATAAGATTCTGTTTTAACCAGGACTTGAAAACCATTGGTATCAGTATAGCTTGTAACCATGGTTAAGGCCAACAAGAAGAATTCATGCCAGAGAAACAAGATGGGTTGGAAGTGAAAGGAGTACATGATTCTACAGTTTGCTCCTGTTTAATTGGACCTAGATAGTGAACAATCAAACATTAATGCACAAAGTCACAAGAAAGAAAAAGTCTTAAGGCCAATGGTGGCAACAGTATATTTTTTGGAAGATGGAATTTCATCTCATTTCTGTTTTTCTAAATTTTTAATAACATAGCCCATGTAGGCTTTCACAAATTTTGTGAATGTGATCTTTCAATTTAAATTTTGTGGTGTAGCAAATAATGTACAAAATCTATTCTTCCCAATGCATCTTAAATTCCTCATGCTATAATAGTGCCATATTTATTTTGTGAACTATGCTGATTTGAAAATAATTTGTGACTTTGGACATAATTATTCACTTTCTTAGACTATCCCGTTCCACCTGTTTAGTTTACAAGAAGGCTTGAATTAGCATAGTCTTCAAGTTTTTGGACACCAAAGTAAATTAACAGCTCTTACTGCTGCTTAACGGTTTGAGTGAGGAAATCCTCTATTTTTCCCTGTTTCTGTAAGACAAAAATATGGTATATAACTATAACTCCAAAGCAGTGATAACTTTAAACAAACAAAAAATATCTTTGCATGCATTAGTTGAAGGCATTTAAATCTCAAGGCAAGCAAATAATGTTGCTCCCAAGTTAAGTGGAGGCATTTTCATCTTTAAAAATAACTTGTTTAAACAGTATAAACTTAAATGCTTACTCTTGTCAGAAATCATGTTTGATTTTGTTTGTAAAGAAAATTCAGCGATAGTCTAGCAGAATGTTATAGGTGTAAGTGGTCCAAAGGTAAGACAATTGAATTACTAGATTGTGAACGAAACTGGTTAATGCACTAAACGTTTTGTGCCTTGGTCTAAAGTTAACATGATTTCTGTGTAAAAGGAAAAAGAAACTGAAATCTTCGTACTCTTTCTACAAGCATAGGTGTGTGATCCTGAATTGGACCACTCCAGGAAATCCAGTTTTAGTTAAACTGTAAATTCAGGCTGCTGTGCTGACAGCTAGGCTGTTGCCAGATATTCCTGTAATTAAAATTAGCTACAGGTTATTAGGTTATTTTCATTACTGTTCTTTTAAAAAATGCTATGATGGTTCCTGTGCTTTTGTACAGTGGATGCCTTAAGCTGAATATGGTTTAGGGGATCACTTTTAATTCCAGGAAGGTATTGCTTTCCTCAACACTGTGATCTGATCTGTGATAAATCTGTCCTATCCATACACAAGTGGCTAACAAGTCAATTGCATACAAACTGAATGTACAAATCTTAGTGCTGGTGCTGATATCTCTTCAGAGTTGTCATGAAACAAAGTTCACTGTTTGCAAGCATCAAGTGTCAATCAAAACTGAAGATGAAACACTAATGAATGTTGAATTTTCATGCATTTAGTTTTACCTCCTTTTGAGTTTTTCAGTTAATTCTCTGCTATTTTTACCATATTGTGTCATTTAAAAATTTCTTAAAATGCTAACTTTGTTTTGTTTGAACAGATGAAATAAAATTGCAATATATACATGCTGCTGTTATTGCTTGTGAAACTTGAGGTCATATTGGGGGTGCAGAAGCAGACTCTTTCCTGTAACCTATTTCTATTGTTGTTACAAATACATAGCATAAATTCAAAGTGCTACCTCCACAAAGAATGTAACAAAATGTGCTCCTAATTCAACCAACGTTTAATCAAAGAAAGTAGTATTTCACCTTGATGTTGTTTCTCATTTTTGATTTCTTGCCATCCAAATGGCACAAAAAACCACCCAGAACCATAAATATTGCTAAAACACTACTACGTGCCATTTTTTAAATTCGCATCTTCACAATGAACCTCACTTTTAATTCATTTATTTCCACCCCTTTTCTTTGCTGACATAATTGGACATAATACAAAGCTACTTCACCATGCTTGCTTTCACTGCTATCAAAACAGCTGTGGGAAAAGGTGTTAGTGTAATTGCCTTGCCTCTTCTCGATTATGGAGTGGATCCAGTGCTGCACACGTGGGCCTCCACTGGCACTGAGGTGTAGCAGGGAGAAGAAAACCACTGACTGGCAGTTTCTGTTCTGCTGGTAAATGACAAGCATTATATTCAACCCAGTGCCATCTACATTATTTCACAGGAGTGATCCTTGATCATAAAAAGTTAAGTGAGAAGGACATTGTCAAATACTTAAGACATTCCATGAATGGCATGAAACTTGTGATCGTACTTGTGTCGAGTAGAAAGGCACCTGAGGAATCTTGACAGAATAACATCAGGAAGGGGTGAGTCACTGATACATGTGGAAAATACAAATGAATTAGGGAAACAGTACAGTTACAGATTTCAGTCTTGTGGGTAGGGAAGATCATGACTATGACGCTAAATACTAGCCCATGTTAGCACAAGCTGTGTCTTCTGCGTCTTAAAATTCTATTTTCCTGTTTGGGTATTGGTTTTGAAACTTTAAAAATAGCTATTAAATAGTTTGTACACTTGAAACATTGCCAGTTTTGCTTGATCTATTGCTGTTGTGGTGTGCCCAGTAGCATTTAAAATAGGCTATTAACTATAAGTGCAGGGAGGGGGAGTCTTTTAAAATTTATTCGATAATATTTAAAGCTTGCCATTTTTTTCAGTTTGTGTGTGTGGAGAACTTATGTGTTGTGGGTGACAGGATTGAGAACTACATTAAAAAAAACTTGACAAAAAATTCCAACCATTATAAGAGCCACTTCCCCATTAGCATACTGCATACTGCCTTTGTCATTCATCCATCCACTAGAAATTCTTGCACAATTTTGTGGGGATGGGGGTCCCCTTCTAGCTTTCTGCTCATCTCCACTTAGCCTGTCATCCTGCTCTTTACCAGACTCTGCTTTCTTGATAATTGGGTTGTCTCACTCTTGCTGCTACCACACCTCTTCTCTGAAAGGCTGTGCTGCACGGTGCAGGTGTTGGCAGTTACTAGTGAAAATATTGCTAGTGCACACATTGTGAGGGTGTGAGACCCTGGACAAACACAAGGCCACCAGTTTTGCTTGCCCACCTCACATTGGTGTCCCAGTTCTTTGATGATCTTACACTTCTCTATGCTGTTTCAAAAAAGCTTTTATAGTGCTCTTTGCAACAGTGGTATAATATTCAAGTGTATATTCCATTACAACCAAATGTATATGCCTACATTAAATTGGGAGAATGTCCGCTGAAATTACTGGTTTTTCCTTTAAAAGAAAGGAACAATGTGAGCAGGTATGCTATTAAAGGAAATACTGAGTTCGGCTGGTTGATGAGGAAATTCCAATCACTAAGGTGAAATGCAGGTGTTTGGTGCCAGGGAACCAATTGGACTATGAACCCTGTGGGGGCAATGACACTTCTCTTCATACTGCAGGTTGAATAATGCAAATCACCCTAGTAATAGAGCAGACAGGAGATTCCAAGAAAGAACATGACATCTCTTGACTCTCAGTAGCTAGAAGCTGAATGCAACATGGCTTGTGTTGTCTCCAGTTTTACTCAAAATGAGTAAATTTTACTCGATGTGTGTACGGTCTGTTTGGGTTCCTATATTAGGCAGCCTTCAGGCATGCGGTTTGACTTGGTTGTTTTACTAGAATTTTGAGATCAATCCATTGAGCCAGCTACAAAACAGTGGCTCAGACAGATGAACATAGGCTCAAAATTAAGAAATAGCGCATGCTCAGTCCAGGAATTTGCAATCAGTGCTCAGGCACAAAATGCATATCCAAAGTTTTTCAGCAGCATAATTTAGGATGAGAAAGCATGTTAACAGTTGATGTGGAATTGTTGTTAAACAAATGGGAAATTAAAACCCTTGCTGCTGATCTATTACAATTTACCTGGAGATCTAGAAATGGATCCCAATCTACTTTCTGTCCGCCTCTGTCTCTGCATCTTGGTGCTGGTCTAACCAGGCTGGTCCAACTCTTGTAATAGGTATAACATGTATCCAGTTTCAGAGAGTTGTGCTGTCCCTAACTTTATGTAGCATTTCGCATAATTCCAGAAAACAAGTTTAGCTTGGTGGAAAATGACACTGCCCTGTTTAGCAGCCTTAGCAACTGTGTTTCACACAAACAAGGAAATGACAGTTATCTGAGAAACTTGGATAATCAGAAATTGTATCCATGCTTCAAGCCTCAACAAAGTTTCCTTTTTGAAGATCTCAAGGCAAAATTTTAATAGAGAACTTGAACAGTTTAAACAAAAGCATCATCTCCTTTTTGAAGTTTTTCTTCTCCTGCCCCACAAAGTTCAATAATAATAATGGTCCTTTGCATAAATAGATTAGAACAAAGATTTAAGAAATAAAACAATTTCATGGCATATTGGTATTCTAGGGGTTTAAGGTTTTAAAGGACATTAAAAATGAGAGCTGTTTTAGTTAATTGTGGTTCTTATTGTTGGAAAAGCTAAAATCGGAAAACTTTTAATGATTTTTTTAGTTTCTTATAAATTCCCACACAGAACACAAACAATATACTGTATGGGGGCTGCACAGCAGAAGGTGTTCTCAGTCTGAGAAGGAATGCTACATGTTGAAACTCTGGGTCCCCTTTAAAACAGTTTTGATGGGGTAATCTTTGGGTCCCTTCCCCCAACAGATAGTGCAAAATGTGTATTCTGAGGACTGTCCAGGGAAAAGCAAAACAAAAATGAGGATCTTGCACAAAGGAACCGTAAATCTCAACAGCCCCTTTTCACTAGCAAAGATCACTCACACTTTCATTTTCCTTGACAGCATGCCTTTTAATAGCTATAAGGAGAAAACACTACAGGAAAATCAGTTCGAAACCCATTAAGGTAAAATGTTCAAGGGGGTATCTCTTGTCCTTTCCTACACAATGCCCACCCGAGGCTCTCAATTTCTGCACTAATGGAACCACACAGTTTCTGCAAGTGAAGCTAGACAAAACTCTCGAATTTTGACGCACACATGTTTAAAAAGTCAGGCATTGCCAGTACCTCCCAGTTGCTGCTCAGGCACATTGAAGGGGCTTTCATTGGCTGTCAAAATGGAGACTGAAAGTGGATTGTCAATCCAGATACAAGAATCTTGGGGGGAGGGGGAGGTAAAGGGGTAAAAATCCACAGTGAACCAAAAATGGTTCGATGCTGCAGCAGAGGGCATATGCAGACAGTGGCAGCCACCTCAAAGTGCTACTTGGGCACTTGTGGGCAGCTGGTGCTGATGGTGGCCCAGATGAGCTTGGCAAGAGCAGCAAGGGGTCTTGCTCAAAGCCAACTGACTTGCTAGCAGGGTTTGGACAACATGACAATCATGGATACAACAGTCCCTACAACAACCTACAGGTCATCAACATGGCCTGTTGCCCTCAACTCAGTCCAGGTTCTCAAAACAGGGCAGCTATTGCTTCTTATCCAGTCCATGGGTTCCTTAATGATATTACCTATTGTCATAAGAAAAGTTTGGGTATATGAACTTTACTATAATTTATAACTTCCTTGTGCAGAAGAGCCAGGGTGGTTGGACAAATATGAGAATAACTGGTATTCTGAAAGTAGTTATTAGTATTGGATTCTGCCCCAATAGTACTAGTTAATATTTAAGTATCGACCAGTTAACCCATTTTTATTCTATGTATGCATTCATTTAACAGCAATAATTATTGTATATTTCAGGAAGAGGTCTTTTATGCTATTTGTCATTGTTTAAAAAATATCCAGTTCACCCATAGCTATAATAATATAGTGGCTCAAAGTGTCTCTTTATATTGTTTGTAACATGAACTCCAGTTCTTTTTTTTCTTGGTAGGTAAGTGTGGGCCTTCATAAATCTGTTTTGAAGTTACCACTAGATGCTAACATAATCTAGCAACAGGTAGTATGTTTAGCGAATTCCTCAATATTTTTATATTAAAGATTTAGACTTGATAAAATGTGATATGTGCAAATGCATCACTTAATTTTGTAAAAAAAATGCAGTTTACACAACAATTCTAACGTGTGCATGTGTGGGTATAATATATAGATTATTTCAGTAGCCTGTAAAATAGCAATTACTTGAGTTCTGCTTTAATGTAAATTAAATTCCAGTTATAGTGTGAACTGGGATAAATCTTTTGCCAAAGTTACAACGACAATATCACAAAATAGAAAGGGGGAAGGAAAAGTATATTCTTCATAAAACATGTAGTATGTTATTTAAAAACTAAAGTGCCTTAAAACTGTACGACCTGCATGCTAATTTTCTGCAATCACTTCTAAACCTAATGTGCATTGCATGAATTTGTAAGTCTGCATAAGTTAATTATCACTGAACTCAGAATGCTTTCTTCAGCCTTTGTTTCTTCTATCATGCCCACGCTTTTCGCTTTCCTAGTTTTCTAGATGGTTTCTTACTATGCTTCTTAGTATCAACTTTCCTTACGAAATAAAAGTTAACTCTTATGTAAAAACTGAATGTTGTATTATTTTCCGTACCCACTCCAGCTTCTTGCTGTCTAGTTCCAGATGTCAGATGCAGGACATGCCACTTCCTTCCCATTCG